TGATGTATCTAATAGGGGTGTTGTCTGGGGTGGAGCTGAAGAGTTTTAATGGAGCTGAAAGATATATTCTCCTTTAAAGGTACACTCTCCTTTAAAGGTACACTCCCCTTTAAAGGTACACTCTCCTTTAAAGGTACACTCTCCTTTAAAGGTACACTCTCCTTTAAAGGTACACTCCCGCTTAATACTCTATTCCCCTCTTCCAGAACGTCAAGGCCCCGATCCTCTCAGAATTAACAGAAAAAATGACCAAACGACCGAGATACCGGGGACACAGACGGCTCCTAGCAAGCTGGTGGGAACTGAACCAGGTACATCTCCAGAGATGACAGGCAAAAATGGCAGTGGAACGTGCTGCCGTGTTGCCGGCGCGCGACTTGGCGGTGACCAAATCGTACACGTGTGCGAGGCCGTCCTGACGAGAGATCACAGCTCACTGGAAGTGCCCCAGCAGAGGAGGACAGGTGTACACCTTCAGTTTGGGCCGTGCTTCTCTGAGATGTTGCGGCATCAGTGGGGAGGCAAAAACATGGTTTTCAAACTTCACTTAGAAAAACAAGAGAAATCTTCCATAAATCTAGGTACACCTACGGCTATGTAGCCTTTGCTAAAGCAGTGACACATAGCACTGGACATGAGACATAAAAAATGCAGAGGACGGCATCTTCACTGGCTTCACAGCAGTCACATTTGGCTCTGTCATTCGGATGAGATTGCTATTTCAATAGTTACTTTCTATTACAGGTTTATCAAGCCAGTTTTTGATCCAGTAGATCTTGGTTTCTGACACTTAGCCTGAGGTAAGGAAACACCGCATGCCATTAAGATGAAGAGAAATCAGAAAGGAAGTCATCGAAAGTTCGCCAGGGTGGGCGTGATCTCCTGCTGTTATCCGAGTACTTAGACTTTGAGCAATGTCAATAAAGTTGAATCTAATCTAATAGTTGCCCATCTTCTCCGCTTCAACTCATGCCAAAGTCAGCAGCAAAGCATCGGAAACATGCTCCAGCATCCTTTCGTAGACTCTGTGCCTCACGACAGACCCCGTCGGCAAACTTTTCACTCGTGGTGCCGCCCTCTGGCCCCAAGGCAGGTTCACTTCACGGGCAGGAACAGAAACTCAGAGCCTAGTTCTGAGTACTGAGCCGCGGGAGCGAGAGACGGTAGACCTGTCCGTCCGCTCAGGTTTGTCACCGTCAGACTTTGCTGCCAGTGAGCCCTGACAGGAACACGGGACACGTCTGCAATCAAAGGCAGGAGGAGCTCCTTTGTTCAGAGGATGCAGAACCGGCCAAAAAAAAGGGTTGACATTCTTTGTCAAGTACTATGTTACTAAGCAACAGAATTATACTATACTACTCCATTTGAGAAAATGATAAATCTGATCCCTGTTGTCAACAATCAGAAAACGGAGCCTATTATTGCACCAGGAAAGTTAAAAACTACAGCAGGATTCACAACGTTACAAGGCTTACGGGGAAAACGCCGGAATATGTGAATCCGAGATGGCATTTGAACTGCGGAACGGGTCACTATGCCGCATTTCATTTCAGAGATACATCCAGGGGTGAATTAATGCATAAGATATCCTAAGCTGTAGCCTAGGGTCCCCCAGCAAAGATCAGGACTCCGCCTGGCCTCAGGAAAATGGGAATGGTTAGATAAATCATGAAGTTAGTAAGATAAGTTAATCCACCCCTGGATACATCCATGAGGCTGCGATGGGCGGGAGGCTGTCAGAGCAGCGAAAAGGGCGGGGGGGCCTGGGACCGGGACACGGTCTGGGTTCAGTCCCCTCCTGAGAACGAGGTTCGACCCCACGCGGTGGACAGGCCCCGATCCGCGTAACACACGAGACCTCACGCACGTGGAAGATTGCCGCCCCCAAGTTCCGCCAAGCCCCCGCCGTGAATTAAGCAGCACGTGGCGAGCGCTTACTAGCGTAAACGGCCGGACACCTAAGCTCTGCCGGTAACAGCCTGCGACGCCCATCTCAGACCCACTGGAGTATTACGTAAGCAGGTCGTTATGCAATCAGCTAAGCAGTGAAAACAGAAGGAAGGACATTCAGGTTGGGCGGGGGGGAGCGATTCTCCATTCAGCTGCATTGATCAGCTAGACAGACGAAAAAATAATACCACACAGTGCCGGTAATAAAAGGTACTCCTACTGACCCCCTGAAGCTGGTCATTTTAGCAAGCAACTCCAGTTAAATCTCGAGTTTACTCACAGAGTAAGAGCTAGAGTACTTACTATATCATTATGCAACTCTTAGGCGTCTTTATGCAGCAAACTCCTGAATAATATGTACCTGTCTTAATATAAAAAATGTTCTTGAGATGAGAGGAGAACACGGCTCCTGGTCTATTGAGCACAACGGTAAACCATTAACAAAGTACAGATAATGCACTGACTGACAGTGTGATTTTCACTAGTGACGAGAGCACGCCGCTTATCCAAAATACCAAATAATCTACCGTAATGATGTTTTTTATCCCTTATATTTTTGTGCAGTCTTTTGTATAATTGATTTTTTTGATGTTCTTTATAGACTTTTCAGTGTTAGAGTCTCTAATCTTTTTCACTGCACACAAAAAAACACAGCAGGGTGATTCTAAATTTGTATTAAATAAACACTAAAATACAAAAGTGTATTACATTTCGGATATTTAAAGGAGTACGACTGCATTTGACCTGCGACAGGGCAAAATACTGTTGCTCAAGAATGAGTAATCACTGGCATAACACATAATGATAAATGATAATTCCCAAAACATGCCAAAAATGCTGCCTCACTTTAAAAACTACCAGACTCTCACAACTGACACATCACAATTTAACTTTCACAGATATCATTTTAAAAAAAAATCTTTATAATTGTGAATAAAATATCACTATTTGAATTTTCATGCACTGGAAATGAACTGCAAGTAACAGCAATTTCATTTTGATATGTTGAGATTCCATGTCACATAATGGAAATTCTATAATAGATCTGCAACAACATTTTGACTAACAACAATGGGGTCTCTCGATATCAGGTGTTCTGTTCAGACTAGTCAGTTCACATACACACCCGTATCTCTCATTCAGCCACAAGCTGCTGAAATGACGCGAGTGTCACAACAGGATTTGCTCTATGAAATGTGTTCCTCTGGCCAAGACGACAGATTTAACAACAAAGAGAATCATCTATCTGTAAATCTTTCACCGTGATGTAATCTACTATACATTATGAAAAACACATGCTTAAATAAAGCAATTCTGAGTTCACCATCGCTACACTGTGGTAAGTATTGTCTATGCAAGTTCAAACACAGTTAGCAACACAGTCAGCTGATTCCCGCTATGGTAATCAAGGCTGGTTGCCAACAATTGAAATCCAGTTCCTTCGCTTACTTCCACAGTTTGGCTGTACATCTTTGGGTTAAACTAACCCTCCTTTCCCTCAAAATGTATTGTGGCTTTGTGAATAGCCAAGGGCGATTGCATAACATCTCAATAAAATATGCCCCAATGAAAATTGTTTCTCTGTTATTACATGCTCTTATATTGCTATCAATATCACAGATTCTGAATGAAAGCAAAATCCTGACGAATCTGCATCAGAATTAACTCGCGGCCATTTCTCAAATCCACGAATGATTTATTTACCACTGTTTAATTGAACAATTAACTGAACACACTTTATTATGATTTATTATTCATTGAGGTAACAATTTATATAAGCCTACATTTTTGAAAGCTCTTTAACTCGCATTCCATTACATGCATTTCTAAAACTTAAGTGTCTAATTTAACCAGTAAATTAAATTGGCAACTTTAAGTGATGGCTTCAATTTGATCTAATCTGAGTATGATAATGATTTCAGATGCTTCAAAGCAAATTAATTAAGATGCAGAGCCCAAGAGCCCCTAGAGTCCAAAGTGATCAAACGCTGAACTTCCGGGGCAAACAGACAGTGAGGGGAGGCTGTAAGTCAGCGGAGTGGCTATTTTATCGTGTTCCGGCTGAAACCCTCTCTGAAAACGTCTATAGGTTATACCACACAGGTTGTCATCTCCCTGTTAAAGACACAGTAGTTGTTGTTCCATGGTTAAAAATCCTTGGCCTCTAACCCTATAAAATGACCTGCTTCACGTCAGGATAAAACAGCTTTTTTTTTTTATTATTAAAATACATTGTTCCAATGTTTAAATGTGTATTTTGCAAACTTGACACATTTATAACATGTTATCTCTTTAAAAAGTTACTGCCTTCACGTTGTATACACAATGACAACATACTAGTTTGTATGAAAACTACGTGGCGCTTAGCCAAAAAAACATGCAAGATTGAATGTGAGAGAATAATGCATCTTGACAAGTCTCTTTCAGTGTCTTGTAAAAGGCTTTAATGTTACTGAGCTATCGCTCCGGGCTGTGGGTGTGGATCTAGTCCCCCCCCCGATTCATTTTACGTGCGCATGTAAAGACACTCAACAGTGAAACACAGAGGTGAGACTGATGGATGGATGGATGGAATCAGATGCACTATTTGTGTGCTCGACCGCTAAGAAAATCTGCAGACAAAGCCCGGCAGATACTCACATATACAAAACGCCTCTTTAGTATGATGTTGATTAGGCATGAAGTTACCTTATGAAGTAATCTGGAAGTCGCATTTAGCAGCGGTTATGGTTGTTTACCCTATAGAATGATTGTTGCTGGTCCAAATACCGAAAGTGTGATTCAAAAGCAATACTTATCAATGAGATATGTACTTATCAGTACATATCTCATTAAATAATCATTCATTTAATTGTTTAGGAACCATAATTATGTAATTTTAGGTAACGTTTTATTGTTAGGCTAGATTTATCGCCATATATATTTTTGTTGCATTTTTCACTTAAAACAAACAAAAAACAATGATTCACTGAATAAATCCACAGTCAAAATCGGTGAACAGCTCAACCAAACCTGGCTGATTAAAAATTAAAACAAAAGGCGGCTCTCACGTTGCTCTGGACGTGTATTCGGGTGCCTTTTCATAACTGCACACCCTGTCTGTAAGCCAAAATTCACATTAAAATGAAAAACTTTCCAACACGTGCGTGCCTTTAATTGGTTATGCAAACAGTAAATACTCAATATCGCTGACAAAAAGGCAGGAATATCGCTGACTGCACCTTCCCTGATTTATTATCTAACTAGCAGGAGTTGCGCCCGGTACGTGTGCGCGTTCCCCCGCTTATTCCTATAGCATAACTCGCAACTTTAATTCCTTTCAGCTGTTTCAAAATAGGCAGCGAAGCAACTATACCTCTGGGGGGGACATGGATTTTTATTAACTAGCCGATTGTTAAATTGTGTCATTTTAATTGTCACACACTGCTGTCCGCCTGTGTACTTCGAAGGAAACCTGACGAGACTCCATATTAAGATCCGCACGGGCGAGTTGGGAGAAAAGGCAGATTGTCGCGTATGACCCGAACCCGAGAGCCGTAAAAGGGTCCGCGGGGCTTCGCATTTCGGCTAGACGCTCAGCCGAGGCCGATCGGCGGCTGCTCCAGCTCCGGCGGCAGCACTGAGAGAGTCGGCGCGGCGGAGCCCGCCGTATGACGGCGCATAGCCGGCGAGCCAGCGGCATTCCAGCCCGGCAGCTCCTCCGAAGCCACATACCGCAACATGCGTCCATAAAGGCAGTCGGTCTACTCACCCACTTTCCGTAACAGATCTTGACGCAGTAGAGCTGAAAGGTTTATCTGAACTTAAGCTGGGGGGTCTTAAATAGTAGCGTCCCGCTTCTCTGACACAGATAGATCGTCTTGGCGAAACGTGAGAAGCTTCGCCTGCTCACGCAGCTAAGATCATCGACGGGAAAACAAGACCCGTGAGTCGTCCCTTCGGTCTGCGTATAGTCCCGATGCGCACCGATAATAAAATAGGGTGTGAGCTGACCCCGCCGTTCCAGAAGTGTTTGCATAAAAAGAAATGCATTCCAGCGAGTGAGATGTTAGGAACAGAATCCAACACCCACGTTTGTATCACAGTACAAAGCATGCATTTTAAAGTTTTGTAACACCAGAAGGAATCTGACTGATTTTATATGCCCTTACATATCTGATATATTACACGTTATTCCGAAAACGCACGCCACCCACAGAGAGACTATATATTTAAAAACACAGTTCACAATTAACGTCAGATTATCTGCAACGTACAAATATAATGAATGTATACCAGAAATGTATGACCCAGTTAGAAAATGTGGAACAATTTTCCACCCACTGGCGTTGTCTGTCCCGTTGTTTTTCCTAGCAGCTGAATATGTGACGTTTGTACAATCTTTATGCATATCAATTTGTATTTAACATTAATTTCTTAAATTTGCACGTTAATACACAGATGGATCGTCAGTAAAATGAGGGATTTGATCCAGTACAGCTACAGTGACTATATGTAATACTATTGCAACTCACTGGGGAAAATACAGACAAAAACAACATTAATTTGTGTCTGAGATTGTGTTTAAACAAATCGGAAAAATTAAGGCATGCGAGAAGTCCGTGCTCTATGTGCAATTACATATGGAAAATGATCATGTGTGGAAAAGTCTATAACACACAAATTCTTTCCTTAGAAAATGATTTACAGAACAATTTATTTCACATAAACATGTGAAACCCTAACCAGACATGGATAAATTGAACTAAAATATAGGCCTGCGTTTTACTTTGTTATTTGAGCTCGGCTCTGGAAACGATTTGGATCGTATTCTCTCATTTGTAAAGGTCACAAAATCAATAATGTCACAAAATCAGCTGAAAGTCTGGCGATGCCTCCCGTTTAATGGGTTCAGTTCGTCTGGTCGTCTCGGTTAATAATCTTGTTAATAACTCTTTTCCACGACTTAAAACCTAGCATCCTCTTAGACTATTTACTACAACCGATATCGATAAAGTTTGATTTTCCACAGGTCAGACGAGGAACTGGCCCGTAATTGTATAATTTATTATCCATAATGCATTTGTTTTAATTAATAAAAAAAACAATTCAGCTAGAACTGAATCATCAATGAGTCAATTAAAAAACTTAAGGGTGTACCCCCACTCTGTGGCATGTGCTCCCTGAAACAGGCTCCCGGCCCCTCCCACCAAAACCCATGGTCCTGTATTGGATGGATTGATGGATGGATGGACGGACGGATGAATGGCCTGATAAAGACAATGATAAAACGACAAGGTTTTATTTTCATGTCCTGTAAGCAATGTGCAGATTTTTAAGCATGAATTCCATTTTTTAACATTTATCAATTTTATGTATTATAAAGTTTGGAAAGGCTAATATATAACTTTTATTATGTTACACCTGAATTGAAATCGAAACGACTTGTGAGCCCAAAAACTTCGCGGTTTGGAGTTGATGATGCTTTTAGGGGTCCTTGCTGTTCAAAATGAAGCCGCTAGTAGGTGCTGTCCTTCTCTCTATTCGTCGCACTTTCTTCAACATTGAATCTAAATACAGTGCTTATTAAGACTGAAAAGCTGCGCTCGACCGGGGAAGACAAGTAGTCCTCGGTAAGTTTTGCAGACCACAATTGCTGTCTGCTAAGTCAGTGATCTTCAGTGATTGAAAATGGTCTCTCAGAATCTCAAAAAGGGGGCCTTTTCAATCATTCGGGGAGAAAGTGTCTGCCTGTCTGTGTCTGCCTCTGTCTGTGTGTCAGTCTGTATGCCTATCTGTCTGTGTCTGTCTGTATGCCTGTCTGTGTCTGTCTGTCTGTGTCTGCCTCTATCTGTGTGTCAGTCTGTATGCCTGTCTGTCTGTGTCTGCCTGTCTGTGTCTGCCTCTATCTGTGTGTCAGTCTGTATGCCTGTCTGTCTGTGTCTGTCTGTCTGTGTCTGTCTGTATCCCTGTCCATCCATCCTTCAAAATCAGAGTACAGTGGGGGCTTCTGTAAGGCCCTCTATTACATCACAAAATATTTGTGTTTCTCTGATTCCCGCACTGGCAGGCTTCGTCATGTTTTACATGTGGCCTGGAATACAATCATTAGTCAGTAATCTCTCATGTTAATGAGTTACCCATGTCTAAGCCTCATGAATTAAATAGGAGAAGTGCTTGTCAACATTAAACTTCCCAGTGCTGGTGCTAGATATGAATAATAATCCTCCATTTTCTATTTTGTGACATAGCCACACCACAAATTGCCGTTGCATTCAACCCCATGCATATTGTTGCCCCAGTTACCCACATTTCTCCAGGTGATGGATGCTGACACACATTGAGGAAATATATTATTTATGATCTTGAAATGACAAACCTACTATTTCCTAATAATAATACATTTCCCCCCGCAATTAATAAAAAATGGCACCGTGAAAATGATCTTTTGAGTTCTGCTTTGTGTCGTCGCTGCACAAAGCTAATCTTAGACTGTGAATATGGATGTCGCGCATTGTCATTATCATGCAGAAACAGTGTGGGTCTTTGCTCGACTCGGGAAATACCCATGAAGAGACCGAACGATTCACACACCCAGGAATGTTAAGGTGTGTGTGGGATTAGTTGAGCTATTTTCACTCGCTGCTGTGAGATAAGCCCAAGGTGGCCTTTTGTCCAACTCTAAATGTCATTGCTAAGTGCTTGTATTTCCACGAGCAATTAGAACTGTTACATGGGCAAATTTTGTGCTGGTTGATTACGTGTGTTCTTGTGGAGTGGATGGTTATGTCTCTAACTAATGGAGTGATTATCTGTTCAGTTATACAATCTATTTTTGTTGTATCGCATATTTTGTTCCTGCCACACAAGCACATATTATGTATTCTGCCCTGAAATACTGATTTGTACTGTAATCTTTTAAAACTGCATTGCTTTGTATTTTGAAACCATTTCACAGAATCTAGAATGATAAACAGGTGATGTGAATCTGTTCTACGTAAGCATGCCAGATTGAATTCAGTAGCTGAATTAAAATGACAACAGCATTTGCCTAGTCTTGACCTCACAAGACCAGGCCCACGTTACAGGTCACATGATCAAGGAACACAATGTGCTAATGAGGAAAGGACCTCGTTACAGGTCATGTGATCAAGGAACACAATGTGCTCACGAAAGCCTGAAGAAGGAAAGCACGCTGAAGAAGGACAGCACGCTGTAACTAAACAACGGTGGTGTTTAAGTTGTTTATGTGCTGAGCACAAAAACCTGCATTTAAAAACACTCTGATCTGAGATTTCATAAACGTTTGAATTCCAGGCACACAAGTGTTGAAATTAGACTTGCATATGGATGCTTTGAAAATGTGCTTTGATGCGTCAGTCTGAGCAGTGCTATGGTTCAGTAAGCAGATATCTGTGAAAGCTGAAACTTGGTTATTTATTTAGATAATTGTGTCCTCTAAGTAAATGGCAATCTGATGCTGCCTATTATGTAGCAATAATCAAAACACAGCCAAGTATAATTAAGTCTTTGGAAGGTAGTGCTTCACCAATGAAAATATATGAAGTACCATTTTCCAATTTGAGAAACTGACGCCGTCATTTTTTTTTGTCTTTGGCCTTGTCCTGGCTTTAGAAATCAGATGTTTCCACCTTTTGCAATGATTATGCATGGAATATGAAAAATATCATATGTAACCCCCCATGTATGTTTTGAGAGAATGACTTTCCCTTGGAATGTAAATCAAATAAGCCATAAATCCTTCATGGCAGGTCCTTCCAGAGTGCATCCTGGGGAAAGGTATAAAAAGGGCAACATATGTTCTGAACAGGAAATTAATTCTTGTCTTTATCTAACTCCTATTCTCTTGCTCTGTCACAGCCATACATAAATATTGTGTCATGCTTTCAAGATAATTTGCAGTCACCGATTGACGTGAAGACCGCATTTTTGGATTGGGGAATTAATAAAGAAAAAAAAATCGTCTCAGGGTTTTAAACCCCAGTGCAAGTTCTAACAAAATTTGAGCAAATGCATTTTTTTTGTATCACTCCCTCTTAAGTAGTATAGTAAATTAAGCCAAATGTAGGTAACTCTCCGCCGCAGTAATGGATTTTAGTGTTCTTTTCGGATTTCAGACATTCTTGTAGAAAATTAAGGGCGAAAATATGTAACATGACAACAAAACCAAAACTTCGTTACAGGTGCAAGGGTTCAGTCGCGTTAAAATGAATGAGATTGCGTTACGTGTTCTACGTGTCGCAACTGCCGCAATTTAACCAATCACAGGCGAAGGGTTTAAAGACGTAAGCCCCACGTGATTGCACTGTTGCTGCTGCATGCCGGGAGTATTTCCTGCGTGAAGATGGCGACGTCTCTCGGCTCGAACACGTACAACAGGCAGAACTGGGAAGACGCGGTACGTTTGAAATGAGCTATAGTTTGATTCTTTTTGGGGAAAACCAAACCCGAACGATGCTGCTTCTTTAATTTCGGATTTGAGCACGAGATCGACGTTATAAACAGAGACAAAGACTCAAATAACTTCACTAGAAATACTACATGATGTAGGCTTCCCGTCCGAAGGCGCCGTGTACAAAGGAACATCGTTAGTAATGGCGTTATCTGGGGGGGCTGGGCTTGTGTGTCCCGGGCCGCATGGCATCTACGGAATTCTGTTGTTATTTTGCAATAAAAATAAGTTTTCAATGCTCCTTTAAGTTAGGCTTAACTACAATGGCGTAACTTGGGGTTGAACATTTGGGGGCGGGGGTTAAGGTCTAGGCGGGGCATGCGTTGGCCTTTTTTAATTATTGGGGGGGTTACCCCTCGTATTTTACGGCTATTGTTGACTAAATGCCCTGTCCAAACGAAGGCTTGTCTGTCTTATGACCTGGTACGACGCTTATGGTGGATTTCGTAACTCCTGTGCAAACCTCAAGTTAGTCATTGTCTTCGGTGTTTATGTAGCGTATCGCAATCAGGCCACACCGGGTACAGTTTTCTGAAGCTTCAGCGAAAGTAAATTTGGTTAAAATGTCGCTGTATTGCGCCAAGAGAAACCTTCAATGGGCGTAAAAATAGACATAACATTCAATGTTGGTTTTTTCAGTAAGTAAATGCCACATGCTTGGTGGGTAAATCATTGTCGGTGGTTGACAGGTGGTTGTGTCCGCCAGGGTGCAAAGCCAGACTCATATTTACCCGCGTTAACCCTGGATGGGCTGCTTAGGACGCCTGCGACGTGTAATTCCCAGTGCTGATGGGTATGAGCTGCGCTAATAACAGGTCGAAATAGTTTCTGGAGCTCTTAGACTGCTCTGCATTAAAGGTGGAAGCTAATACAGGAGCGCTTCGAACGGAGGAATGTTGTCATACGGCTTAAAGTAAGCTTTGAAGCCGGTAGCGTTTCTCATGGTGTGAATTGTAGGGAGACACATGGACAAATGAAAATCTAGTATGTTCACAGGCAAAGGGATTTTCAGTCTGGTTGATAATGGCTGCCCAGTGGACCTGCATGACATGTACAGTAGATATAGATGCAATTAAGACAAGCCAGTGGTTGCATGCATTCTGTTTAATATAAGTGGGTGTGGGTTCATGGGATGCTAGATTAAATACAGTAAATAGGGTACAATGAGTACAATTAAGTGAATTATTTGCTAAAATGCCACTATGTGTAGTAATAGTGCATTAAATTCTATAGATAGACACACACACAGGGGAGATTACATGTTAAAATGTCATGCCCCGGCTAGTATAAACCCACCTACCGGGTGAGACTGAGAGGAAATGATCAGTCAAGTGTAAATTCAGTCTGGTGACACTGGACGGCAAATGGGAGGCCAGGGAATCCGTCAGGAGCCTTCGCCGTACCAGTCACCGCTCGGAGAGCTGGAAGCCTCTGGGTGCAGGATCCTCTGGGATTCTGAGAGGGAGGGAGACGCTCCAGCATGTGTTTGGCTTCTGAATATGAGAATCTCCGTCTTTCCTGCAGGACTTTCCCATTCTCTGTCAGACATGCCTGGGTGAAAATCCCTACATCCGTATGGTAAGTGATTAGGCCTTCTGTCACGTTGTTAATACCCATTAACACACACGTACAATACCGTGTTCATTTTTTTTATGCCAGTTTAAAATGTGATTTTAATGTAACACTTCCTGAGTGTATTTTTCTTTAAATTACCACAACTCACAATGATATAGGTCACACGATCTTATATATTAAATACAAAAAAAATTAAATTGGCACATTTTGAGATCCGTGTGCATTTGTAGAATACAACTCGCATTTTTTGCCAGCCCTCTGTGTTGCCAGCAAACGATGGCTGTGCTCCCTCCTGTATCGTCGCGGTGACTTTGTCTCCTGCTGTCTTTAATGTCACCCTCTTTGTTCCATCTTTACACGGCTTTGTTTCCTGGTTGTTTATGCTCCGGTCTAATTTGTTTTTCTTTCAACAGACCAAAGAAAAGTATGGCAAAGAATGCAAAGTAAGTTAAGTTTGCATCATCGAAACAGTTTATAATTATAAACTCAATGGTTTGAGACGGTTATGATCCGTTATTTGTCTGTGGATTTAAGTGATTGGTTCACTGTGTGATGTTTTCAGGCAGTTATCCGGTGGTACTGAATTAATTCCTGTGGGGGGGGGGAGGGTATTTCCTAACTACAGATGAGTGAACTTAACTCGGTGTTTCTCAACCCAGGCCTCGGGGACCCCAAACAGTCCACATTTTTGCTCCCTCCCAGCTCCCAGCCAATCAAGAACGCCGAATACCTGGTACAGGTGTGCTGGGGGCAGGGAGGGAGCAAAAATGTGGACTGTCTGGTGGTTCTGAGGACCGGGCTGAGAAACAGACTTAACTCAGTGAGAAGTGCTCCGAAGTCAGAAAAGCAACATTTTCATAAAAACCGGCTCTGTTCAGTTTTAGCACGGGAATTCCACTGAGTTTACCGTGAGTGTTAGGGAGACAAAGGTATTTAACAGCACCTGCCGGCCCTCAGATCTGCGCCAGGCCCTTCACGGTGTTCCGATGGTGCCCGGGAGTCCGAATGCGCTTCAAGAAGACAGAGGTGTGTCAGACCTGCAGCAAGATGAAGAACGTATGTCAGACGTGCCTGCTGGACCTGGAGTACGGTGAGTGCCCTCATGCCCGTTCTGGGCTTTCTCACGGCATCAGGCACAATATCTCAAAATCCAAGGTTGCTTGTTGCCATTTCTGTCTTACAGCTGTGTGACAGAAGCCAAATGGCATTTTCCCAGGTCTAGATTGTGTCTATTGGTCACATACATTATATCTGCACAGACAAACAAGGAACACATACGATTTTCTTAAATATACAAAATCAGTATTTATAGCAAAAAGGGTACAGCCTTGGTACGGTTTTGTTCCCCAAGGTACAAACATCATTAAAGTATCCCCAGTGGTACAAAAATGTTCCTCTGAGTCCATTTCTGTACCTTTAAAGTTACATTTACCTACAGCTAAGGGTATAACTGGCAGACCCTTAAGGGTACAGCCCCAGTGATTGTACCCTCAAAGGTACATATTGGTTGGTACTTTTTTTTTCTTAGTGTATAGTGATCCTGTGTTACCAGTATAAAACTGGTTTGCCTGTCCTTCATGTATCACAGCTGAGTAAGTCAAGTTTCTGTGGGAGATCTGGCGTGTTTAGTTTGTGTCTCGTTTGGTGCCCTGGGGGGGGGCGATTGTCCCACCAAGCCTTGGCTCGGGTTCTCCACGTGCCCCGGGGACACGGGGCGCCAGCCAAGTGCTGCTGCACGGCGTTTTTAAACTACCCCCATCAGGCGGCTCTCACCTGTCACAATATGCCCTCAAACATGCCATTTATAGCCTCTGTCTCCCTCACCCCCCCGCAGGGCTGCCCATCCAAGTCCGCGACACGGGGCTCTCCGTCAAAGACGATATGCCCAGATCGGACGTCAACAAGGAGTACTACACACAGAGCATGGAGAGAGAGGTAACGCACCCTGGTCAACGTTTGGTCCCTCAACCCTGAGCTGTTCCCAGGAGGGCCTCTACAAAGCTCATCACCTGGAGATTTATTGGTGGCAGATGGATTGATGCTCTCTATCTGACCACACCTTCTGGAAAGTGCTGTATGGTGCCCGCTGGACGCGGATGTCAGCTGGTTTGTCTCCATTACTTAGAAAAGCCCTGCAGAGAGTCTGCATACCGCCTGTCACTAAGATGACTGCTGTCCCGAGTCTATAAATATCGTCAGTTATTTCAGGTTTTCACCACTCTGTGCTGTGAACTCATCTTCATGTTCGGCTGGGATCGGTTCGTCTGTCTGGTGGTGCTTGGTGATGTTGTTGTTTTTTTTCTTGACTGGCTATGCTAGCATCTACATAAAAAAACACTTATGTAGATTTTTGGCTCATGGTAGTGGACAGCAGATTAACTGCGTGACGTCTCCCCCTGCTGGCCTGTGGCAGATCCTGAACTCGGACGGAACGCGGCCCGTGGGTCAGCTGGGCAAGGTGCCCAGCTCTAGTGACATGCTGCTGAAGCTGGCCCGCACCACGCCGTACTACAAGAGGAACCGGCCGCACATCTGCTCCTTCTGGGTGAAGGGCGAGTGCAAGAGGGGCGAGGAGTGTCCCTACAGGTGGGTGACTGAGGATTGTGTGGGGTGGACTCTGTGCGGTAGTACATCCACCTCACTGGTAGGGGGCGCTGCAATTAGACTTCAGTGGTAAATGGCCTGAATTGGCAGCAAAAGTGTCTCAGATCTATAAACGTAGCATAAGTTGCACTTTCCTGCTGCCTTTTAAGGGAAGGTGGGGTGGTGATCGATCCATTAATTAAAGTTATTCCAGGAATCAGCTGATATAATAATTAAAATGTGTTTGCAGGCAGCTTTAATAAATGTGCTTCTAGCCCCCCCATGGAACGCTGCCTGTTTGGAGAGTGACGCTTGGCCTGATGTCTGAACCCCCCAGGCATGAGAAGCCGACCGATCCAGACGACCCGCTGGCTGACCAGAACATCAAGGACCGCTACTACGGCATCAACGATCCGGTGGCAGACAAACTGCTGAAACAGGCGTCCTCTATGCCACGGCTGGACCCCCCCGAGGACAAGACCATCACCACGCTTTACGTGGGGGGGCTGGGGGACACTGTCACCGAGGCTGACCTCAGGTGGGGCCTGTGTGTGTCTGTGTATAGATCAGTGCTTCTCAATCCAGTCCTCATAGACCTACAGACAGTCCACATTTTTGCTCGGACCGGGCTGGGAAACACTATAGATGGATGGATAGACTGACTCAACATTCTGGTTCCTCTCAATCTAAGGCTGCTCTGTTAAGGAATCAAAAGTCCCAACTCAGCCGTGAAACTAAAATCTACTTATTTATTGCATATTCTGCTCTTCTTATTCAATGACAGATTTGCGTAATTTTCCCCACAATCAGGCGATTAATTGTACTTTTTGTTTTAATGTCCCTGTCTTAAAATGTCAAGTTTATCATGTTTCTCAGTATTTTATATCATATTCATTATTTTTCATTTGCTCCATCACCAGTGAGAATATTTCACCTCAATGTATCTAAAGCTGACAACAAAAGATACTTCGACTATATGAAAGCGAGGGAGCACATTTACTGTAACACTTTTTGCTCACGATTATGTCACTGAAAGTATGCGATTAACAGATTCACATCTCTGTATCACTCACACTTCCTCTTCGCAGGCCTGCCGGTCAAGGATGTCGCTCTGCCGTTTTCGGCTTCTCTCCCAGACTGACTGCTCGTTTTCCCATGTTTTATCACCTCTATCTCTGACACTCGTGCTTCCGCTCTCTCTGCTGCGCTCCTCTCAGGAACCACTTCTACCAGTTCGGCGAGATCCGCACCACAACGGTCGTGCAGAGGCAGCAGTGTGCCTTCATCCAGTTCGCCACGCGGCAGTCGGCCGAGGTTGCCGCCGAGAAGTCCTTCAACAAGCTCATCGTCAACGGGCGCCGCCTTACAGTCAAGTGGGGCAGGTGAGTCCTCATCTCTACAAAGCCACACTGGGCCCTAAACACTAGTCATATCGTTAGCGTGCTTGCTAACCCTAACCCTAAACACTAGTCATATCGTTAGCGTGCTTGCTAACCCTAACCCTAAACACTAGTCATATCGTTAGCGTGCTTGCTAACCCTAACCCTAAACACTAGTCATATCGTTAGCGTGCTTGCTAAC